TGTTACGCATAAAAAATTTTATTTATCTAAAATTAACCTGATTCAATACTTGAAGTTGGTCGTAGCTTTTCCGTGGTGAATTAATTAATGAGGAGCTTGGTGCGTCATTGGAATTCCGAGACGGTTTATTTTTTTGTAGACAGGATGATAAATTATTTCAGTGGGGCATTGTATGCTGTCTCCTTAATTTTACCGTACCAGGATGTTCTTTGCTAAGTTGCAGTTCTCTAAGTGGTCTATGAATAAATTGAATGCAAAGGAAATGGCACTAATGGCTGTAGAAAGAATTAAAATATAGTTGTGTTATGTATAGCAAATCAGCAATGTGGTGCTCTAAGGGCTCTAAAGATATATTTGACAAAGACAATTTTTTCTTGAAAAGTATATGTACTGCATAATATTCTGGCGAAATTAAAAGTGAATACAAAAATTTCACAATAATTTCGTCTACTAATTTGAAGTAGGTACCTTTCTGGAAGCACAAAATATAAACATGCGTGGCATGAATGTAATGTTCGATGTGAATGTGCAGCAATGTTCAAAAAGCAAGACCTGTGTTATGCTACTTTGCAACTAGTTCATGCATGCAATGAAGTTGCGAAAATTTCATTCCCACCAAACAGTTATCCATTAAATGTCTTATTAAATCGCATAAAGAAGATCGTTCCATCAAGCCGATTAGAAGTACCGCCAACACTCCAAAATCCTAATTGAGGTTGAGAATTATGACCTTCTACGTGTCTTGGAAATTCTCACTCATATCTACAAACAAAAGTTTCATGTTTAATGATACAATGTACAAGAGGAAAGATGATTCGCCAATGGCCACCCACATGGAGTATAATTTCTGATATTTATGTTCACAATCTTGAAAGTACCTTGTTTTTAGAATGTTATTCCATCTTTAGTAAGCTATCATTAGCAAGGATATCTATTCTATGGGTGATAATATCCTAATAGTCTAAAATGAAAGTATTGACCAATATTTTTAATTACACAGTTCACTATAATTCATTACAAAAATAGAATAAGAAAAAATTGTTAACTCTTAGATTTTACACTAACTACATATATGCTCACTGCGTATCTACTGATTACATAATTCCTAAATCATTACATTTGCTCTCATCATAAAACTGCAGCTATTAATTAATCATGGTAATTTTCTTAATAAAATTAAAGTAATTGCAAAAATCGCATTCAGTAATGTTATATCAATGATCTACAAGGTTCATGTAATAAAATTCATAACAATAATATCAGAAACCATTTTTTCCGAGAATTATTCAACCTCCTGTATTTTAGATTGTTAATTTTGTGATAAAGCAATAGTTTTTTTCAACGTAGCTACCAAATGACCGATATTAAAATGTTATCTTATACTGAGACATTTCGATAAATTTTTGGATTTTGTGGAATATAGAAAAGTAAATTTTTTTAGCACGGTCGTTATGGTGACCAATACACATGGGATGATTTCCAAGTAATAAACGACTAGAGGGAAGGGCCAACACGACGTAAAAGCAATAAATTAGTTTTGTTAATTACTTTGTGTTACGTAAATATTGGAAAAAGGTGATAATAAATGAATGTGCCAAACATTAACCCAATAAAGATTAAAAAAAACTAATATACAACAATATGTACAGATTTGCTTTATTTTAGTGACAGCCACTGCATGGCTGTAGCAGTTTTCACATCTTTCACCTTTTTTTTTTGCTTCAAAAATATGTCAAGTTCAATTTCAGAAAACGAAAATTTAACACCACAATATAAAGTTACATAGGTACAAGACATACTTTTTGTTCCTGAACTTGAACTCATTTACGTTTTGTAAATTAATACCATTTCCACTACAATTTCAGAAAACAAACTTTAAGTTCAGAACATAAAGTGACAACTGGGTAATATCTCTGTGTATGATTATAATACATGTACCAAGACCTATTATCATGAATCCTTCCCATTGCAACATCGATTATATTTTCAATGAAACGTAGTCTCATCTAAGTTTTGTTTTATAGTTCCATTCCGTTAGGATAGTCTCGCGTTAAAACCGTATTATGAGGTGAAATTGATTTTTCACTTTGAATACACTTAAATGTGTTCTATTGTATTTAATATGGAACTATAAGGAGCCAATCTATATATCATTACTTTGGAATACATGTCTGCAAACAAAGTCGAAGCCATTCATTGGAGTCGTTATGTTTAAAGGATTCTCTGTGACGTAAACAATATTTAATTCATACTGAACATATGGAGCCGATGATATGTAAATTCAATCCCTTTGGTAAATTAACTGTTTAACGTTGACGTTAATGCTACGCCAACAGAATAAATTAAAATTGGTGCCTACAGTCTTTTAAGAACCCTGCCTGGAGCAGTTGCTGTATGGATTGAGTAGCTTAATAAAAAGTAGTAGCAAAAATTGAGAGCGGGCATGGTTGGACTGCACCGCCATAGGAGAGAGAGTCCTATCACCTTGTAATGAAATCATAAAGATGTCATCAGATCACAGATAATCATCAGATTTTACAATGAAGTCTCTAATTAACCGTTGTGTTTGGTTTCTGATAAAATGTTTAGAAGCCTCCTCATATTTGGATAAACATTTATTAACATTTCTTTGAAACAAATTTCACATTAATAATAGTAATAATAATAATAATAATAAAGGCCTTTATTTTGCATATAACAATAATACAATTAACATGATTTGCTGTATAGGTGAGGTTCAGTCCGGAGACTGCTCTACCACCTAACCTATAATACATTGTGAAAACCTGACAAAATTAATAATAATACTACTAGCACACGGCGAAAGCATTACGAAATAAAGTGAATTAACATTTATACACATACTGGTAATACTGCAAATGGTCATTCTCTCACAGAGATGCGCAAAGGAAACATGAAGGTTGAGATGTTCCTGTTTCTTCTTTTTTCTAATGTGGATATCCATAATGGTAGCCTACAGCCTGTTCATTGCCAAAATCTAAAATTTCCACGGAAGATGAGGTCCAACATTCTCGTCATCGTTTTGGTGGTCTTGTCTGTAATTTTTTTCCGACTAGGTTATTGATTTTTCCAATTTAATGAATCTGTCGTGTATACTGCCTTGTATACTTCTTTTTCATCTCGACTGTTCTCATCAGTTGTAGACTCCTGATCTCTCTTATAGCCATTGAATAGAGAGCCATGAAGGTATTTGTTCTATCAAACAATCTCTCGTAGGCATCTCGAAAATCGAGCAGCTTTCATTGTTGGCTCTCTCACTTCGTTAATCCGTGGCTTGTTATTTCTGCCACCAAATATTGACGCGATTCACTTATTCCACAGTCTTGGAGTCGGTCTTACATCTTATCAGTTCCTTGGATGTTACTAAGCATTTGGTTTTGTCGGTGTTGATGAGCATATTTAATTCTTTTTCTTTAGTGTTAGAAGCATGTAGTAAGAATCTGCAATAAGGACAACATCATCAGCGCACTAGACGGCATGGAAGAATGTATTTCCCATTTTGAATCCAGTTATCCTGGAAAAATTTCCCGTTATTTTATCCATTACACCAATAATGCAGCCTTTTTATTAACCATCCAATAAACAAGGTTTTTGAAAGTGAGGTTTTTGATTTATTAATAAATAATGGTTTCATTATATGGTCGTTGCTGCAGAAAAGCATAGTTATATGACATTTCGTTGCGTTATTAGGTGATCCATATTATAAGTTTTAAATAATAAGCTTTTCCCCAAAAGAATCTTTCTGACAGTATTTCCAAAACAACCTGTGCTCATCAGCATTTAAGACCTGGCTAGTTTGCTGGATATTGTTGCGCCACATCAGGTGCTTGTTTACCTTTCAATCTTATTATTAAGACATTCTTTATTATTTAAAGAATGTCTTTGTTTGAATCTTTGAAGCCAACCATGATTTGCATAAAAATATGGCTTCTTTCATAACCTTTATTTATAATTCCATTGGTATTAATTGTAATCTTTTTTTGAGATGTGTTCTCTAGCAGTTTGTAACAATTCTTATGTATGAAGTCGTACTCGTAGAAGATGCTACACTTTTTGTAATGGAGTCTTCATTTTTTCTCATAGACCTTATTGTAGGTAGCTTCATTCATAGCATAAAATGTGGCAACATTATTATTCTATCTCCATTATGTAAAGGATCTAAAATTTTAATTTTACTCTCTATAACTAACCAGTAAATAAGAAAAGTTAAGAATCCTATTAGAAAACACACAGTGATGGACACTTTTCTGCCGTTTATATACTCTTTAGCACACTTAATCACAAAACAGAAGGGTTTTCTTGCAAAATCCCTTGTTTGGATTGAAATAATGTGGCACAATTACGAACGCAGCACAAAAAATAGATTTTTCTTGAAAATAGCTATCAACTATTGTTTTTATTTTCACTTCCGGTTGGTAATTTTTCAAGATAACTTCACCGTATTCGGACTCATTGTGACATTTAACTGGGTATGGATATAAGTGTAACACGCACATACTTAGCTTGGGGTGGGTTGCCTAATAACCTTATATTTAAATGCTTACTTCACATCAGGTTAATATGTGGAACTCTCATTCATTTGGTCCTAAACTACAAGTTGAAGCATCAATTCTTAGATGAATATTGATTATTAATATTCTTGTTAAAAATTGTAATTCTGATTAGGCATCACTTATTTTTGATAAATCGGTATTAACACAAATAATGTTCTATTATGTTAATTTGTTATATATTGTATAGAAATGTTCATTAATATAATAGGAGTAATATATATCATTGAATTTGAAATAGAATAGAATATTCTAAAAAGAAAAATAAGGGCCCCACCCTATGCGCATTGAGGTGCATGTGCATGGCAACCATGATGTTCGATGCGCGCAAGTAATTGTAGGGATGGAGGTATGGTGGGGAAAGGAAATAGGGAGTAAGTGACGTCACGCCGCGCCCTCCCCACACTCTTCATCGGCTTGCTACGAGAGACCGGCGACGAGCTCCGCGACACACGTTCTTACGTTTGTGTACGGTGCAGACCTCTGTTTGAGCAAGCCCATAAGCATCTCTTTCAGACCTGATTCTTCTTCGATCAGAATTCGTGCCTCTGAGACGCCGCCACCAGAAAAAATAATCAATTTTTTCTTTGTTCTATCACCAGATAGATCGTGATACGCGTTTTAAACCGTAGTTCTTGTAGTGCAAACGGCGTTTTATTTCAAGAAATAGAAGACGATGGCTACCACGGAGGAGAATAATGTACCGGTCGCTCAAACGGAAACAAAGGAGATGATCAAGGAGGAAAGTCCGGCGGCTGCGACTGAAAAAGCCGAAGAGGCAAAATTGGAAGCCGGCGGTGATGCTCAACAGCAGCAACAACCGACCGCGAAAGAGCCGGCTCCGCCCAAAGTCCTCGTCCACAAAGCGAATTTCGAGAAAGACGTGGTTTATTTGTATCAGTTCTCCCGGACCCCGTTGCTACCGTCTTTATCGCCGTATTGTCTTAAAGTTGAGACATGGTTGAGGCTGGCAAATATGAAATACGAGGTAAGTTCAATTTCAGAGAAAAAAATCGAAGACGAAACGAGAAAATGGCAGTTTGTTTCACGCCCAACCTAAATGCAGGGTTGATGCCCTATCTGACAGGGTCAGGGATGTTGCTTTAGCTGCCGGCCGCCATTTTCTCTTCTTCCTTCGCTTGTTCATCCCACAGCTTACTATGATTTTATATCATAGTGACCATATATATATAACTTTATTGTATAATACAATTAAAATTTTTTTAATTTATACTTTAACATTTAAAAATCTAATTTTATTTTAACCAGATTTTTTTTATCTTATTATTTAAAGTAAACAACATTTTTTGATACATTTTTTTTTTACAAACAATGATATCTTTTCATGGAACCAATTTCGAAATAACTAAACACTTTGTGGTGGTTACATATACAGGGTGATTAAGAGCATAACTTATCATCCTAAATTCCTAGTAAACATTTTTGCATAATGGGTATCACATTTTTTTAGCAAAATGACTATTTTGAAAAATAATCATTTTCCTATTCCGCAATGAATAAAATATAAACCTGTTTACTTATTATGGCAAATAAATAAAATGCCCATGGATGAGGTTCTACCAAAAAGGCTATAGTATAATTTAAATTGGAAATTAGACTTGTTGCATTTCGATAGCAAACTTTTTAAAATACCAAAACATGAGTTACATGAGATTTAAGTTATGGATTCAGAATATTATTTATTAATCCAAGACGACTTTAAAAAATTGGGTGGAGATCCCTGCCTTTAACAGTTGTGAAGTTAATCGCGTGTCAGAAACGCTGGGCTAAAATGAAAACGGGTAATGATTTGTGAGCCTCCATAACTTAACTATTCTCCATAAAATTGAAATAAATTGAAACCCAAGCTTCTATGTATCACCTAACGCCATCTGTTAACATCTATTATCATTATATAAGTAATACTTAATACAGTTTACTGTCTAATGAGTTAGATCCATAATCTCAACAACACAAAACACTTCTAAATTTATTACAATTTGTCATTAGCCATCTTGATAAATGTTTATAAAACCACATCATTATCTCCAACACTCTTAAATTATGAATTAAGTATGAATAACACTAATATATTTTCTTATATAAAACATATTTCTACCAGTTTCGATGTTTGTACATCATCAGGTCACAATGTCAATTGAATAAAATTTTTTTGCCATTACGATTATTATGTAGATCTGGTAAACAAAATGAGCTTAGCTGCCACGCCCAGTACGATAACTATGCAAAAAGTTAATTATAACAAGTTTTATGTAGTAATATAACAGTAATTATCCTGATAAGTTAGGAGTGGACTATACCGTATAATGAAACCTTAGATTATTACATAACATCAAATTATTCTGTAAAATGTAGATTTTAATTTGTCACATCCGTTACATAATGTATGTAACGATATTTTTTGTGCATTAAGACTAGAAAAATTGTTTTTGATGAACTCTTTTGATGTTATGGGTTTTTACTATTTAGTATTTGAATTCAACGATAACGACTGGCCAAGCAATTTAGGCAACGAATTAACTGGGCTAAATTAAATTAAAACTGTTTTGCTGAAATTTGATTGTTTATGGTGATCTTATAAGACCTTATTTGTGTTAATAGCTTAGATTAACTTTTGATATAATTATAGCCTTTGGAATTCAAAAGCATTTAGTTTTCAGTTTTATTCGGAACATATCATTCAATTGAAGCTTGTTTCAAATCCAGTCAGCTTTTTCATTTTAAATTAATAAGCAAATACTTGTACTATCATAGATTCTTCATAGTCAACCAGCAAATGCGTTGCATTATAATCTTCAAATTTGGAAATGACCTGTATATACACCATCCCAAAAAACCACAGAAATAATACTTGAACTTTCATTCTGCTGTGGAGAAATGTACGTTGTATACACTGATGCTTCAAGGATTAATAATGATGTTATTTTGAGGGTTTTCTTGCAATTGTAATGGATTCGATGTTTTATACTGAAATTACTACTGATTTAGATACATTTTGTTCAGGTTATCACGTATCGATATCTAATGCACCTTCTTCAGGGACATTAAAAATTGATGCAAATTTAATTAGTCTTAGTTCCAGATGTTCTCAAAAGGTTGTGTTACTGAAATGTATTTTTTGAGATTATTTCTTGTGTAACTTAGGCATCAAATTAGAATGAAAATACTTCCTTTTATAAATAAGATAATGTATGCTGTCAGACATAATTAATTGCTATAATAAACACGTTAAATAATTATTTATGTGTCTAGGTGAGAAAGCGGTTGTATTCTGATATAATCTAGCGTAGTAAGCTAGATCAATAATAAGCTAGAATAAAAGGCCACGCCTATCTACCCGAACTCTGTCATAGGCATAAGTTCATTGCGGTTGATGAGATTTTGAATAATATTTTAAAAATGTTTCTTAAAAGAGAGCTTTTCTAAAGCAAGCAATGGCTAGAAAGATGAAAAAAAGAAGAGTGGATATAGAGTGTCGGGGAAGGATTGTTGAATGGGTATGGAATGTGAAAGGTTAGCAGATAAAAGGGCCAGGTTTAAGGTGGTTTGTTAGGGAGTGCGTCTGGTTTGGTGATTTTTCGCAGTCCTCGAATAGCAGGAACTTGCCAAACGTCAACATGTTGAGCAACATGAACAATACGTCACACATGAATTATTAGGGTTATATGATAAAGTCAAGTTATAATTCGATAACTTGCTGGAGTAGATTTTGCTTTTCGATTAATATGGGTGTGGAAATCACCTGGATAAACATTGTTTACACAATACTTGCATATACTGACTTCTTGCACAAGTATCAGCAAGTAACTTCAAAGTCTTCTCGTTTTTGTTCAATTCTGTGGAATTTAGCTGCATTATAAATTGTATTGTTTCGATGACTTTCGACGTGAGTAGTGGCTCTCCTATCATCGTTCGGAAACAAAATCTTCCAACTTCGAATATTTCCTTAAAGGTTTTATTACAAGCTTGTCTTCTTGGGTCTAATTCTTGTTTTCGTATTTAATGATTTAGCACACTGATTTGACAGTTCTTAGATTCAATACGAAAGTCGGAGATGGACATTAGGAATTTCCCGAGATTGGTATACTTATACTGATAATGGCATCTGTATGAAATATGAGACCAAACATATTGGTCCCTAAATTTTGAACATCATGATGATTTTGGATAAATCAAGCTTACTTTACACGACTTGCGTGCTTAATCGCATTTTTGCAATTTTGATTTAATCAACTTTAAGTGATTCCAAAAATTATTGGATGGTTCTGCTCGATTTTAATTCGAATTTTCAAACATTCAAGCTATTTTGCACGATTCTAAATGTTGTAAAATCTTTTAGACAACTTATACAATATTCCTGATTGATTTTAACATGATTTTAACTTTTCTTGAACAGCACCATGATGGTTTTGGATTATCAAGCGACTTGCATGATCAATGGCATTTTTGCAATATTGATTTAATCAACATTAATTGATTCTCCAGATATTGTTACAAACATAACCTTTTCCAAAGCTGCCTCAACTTTCGAAATCAACTGGAACTAAACTACATCGTCTATAAATTAACACTCTTTCCAGCGCTTTTGAGCTTCTCTCTCTACCATGGTGCTGCAGTCCGCTGTCAAATCCTGGATTCCTTCAGTTTTTACCTCCATACACTTCCTGCATCCTAGCACCTCTTTTGCAGCATCAATATCAACCGGCAAGTCCAATTTTTTTGGTAGCCGTTTTTTCGGTCTCTTTCAAGTTTCTTGCATTTTTCTGTTTATTAATATTCTATGGAGTCTTTCGCCGTTCATCCTCGAAAGATGACCTGGCCATTGTAGTCTTTAGATTTGATGTAATTGAATATCTCTGGTTCCTTGAGGTGGTGGTATAATCCATAATACCCTAAAATTCTCCTTAAATGTTTTCTCTCAAATATGTCAATATGGTTTGTTAGTTTTTAAGTTAAAATTCATGGCTTTTGAGCTTAGGAGTTTTGAAACTGGCTTTGTCTCGCTTTGTTTCCTAGGTTGATGTGATTTAGTTATAAATCTTATGTTTTTGGTTCATCATGAACAATTTTGGATCACGCCGTATTACTTTAGTTGATTTACTTTTTGATTTACAATACATTTCAGTATCATAGATTGTTTGATTTTGACGACTTTGGCTTTGTGTATGGAAGATGGACTTAGTATGATATGAATTGGTTATAAATCATATTGTTTTAGTTTATCATGAGCAATTTTGGTACATATCGTACTTTTCCAGGTTTGCTTTATACCTACAAGATGGATCTAGCTTGGTATGAATTGATTATAAATTATGGTATTGTGATTCATTACTAAAAAAATGTATGTATATTGTACTTCTCTAGGAGTATTAGTTTTTGAGTTATTTTGGGGATCATAATTTTTCGGTTCAATAACAAATCCTTAAATCTCCATACTTCAAATATATTTTTTATTTGTTAGAATATAAATATTAAGTTCAATTGAAACAGTAACATATTTTTGTTTTGATGTGTTTGTTTTTCATGTCATAGTTGTAACATATTAGAACAAGCAGATGTAATACAAACAAATTAAGATTTGTACGACACTCACGCTCGCATAGAAAACGGAACTGTGATTACGATCTTCCAATCCAACCTAACGTAATTTACAAGATCCCATTGAATTTATTGTTCATTTAAAATAGAATGTTTACAGAGCTAGATCTATATCCAAAAGGAACTGTAGTTGTAATTTCTTTATAGATTAGCAACAATTTATTTTAATGATACAAATAATTAAATATCAACGGAATACATCTGTTTTTAATATTTCTATAAATAATAACGTATTTTCATCAAAAAAATATGTTTGTGTAAATAAATTCTATAAATATAAAATAGTTACATCAAGTTCGTGATTTATGTGGCCACCAGAACGTTAATTTATTAAACGACGCTATGTTGACACCAAATTCGAGTAAATAC